CCTTTCAAAAGAAGGAGAGTGTCAAACTCCGGATTTGGTTTTGTGAGATTTGGCTGTCCTGTTGCATCAGACGTTGCTATTTAGAAAGCAAATGGCCTCTTGGTGGATGATAACAACGGCGAAGAAGTGGAGCATGGGGTAAGGAAGTTAGGTGCGGCCTCCACACAATATTCGTGGACAACCTTCCTTGTTCCATGGATGCTAAATCCCTGTTCAAGCTGTTCTCCAAGTTCGGCATTGTGAGCGATGTTTTCATTCCTTTCAAAAGAAGGAGAGTGCCAAACTCCGGATTTGGTTTTGTGAGATTTGGCTGTCCTGTTGCATCAGACATTGCTATTCAGAAAGCAAATGGCCTCTTGGTGGATGATAAGGTGCTAGCAGTCAACATGGCTTCTTACGATAGGAATAACAGAGATGTACAAAGCCAGAGGCGGGTTCAGAACAATAGAGGTGTTGTTGAAACAACCACAACGAGGGGTCAAACGCCATTAGTTGGCTCTAGAACATTCGCAGATTCACTAAAAGGCGGCAAACTCAATGAGGAAGCTTGTACGACCATTAAAGCAAACGAAGATGGCCACGGATGGCTATATGACAGTGCTATAATCAGACTACATATGGATTACACTGTAAATAGTATTAGAGAGGCCCTCGAGGAGAAGGGGATATTGCAGGCCGTGGTCAGAAAGGGAGGTGGTCGTGATGTAGTCGTAACTTTTAATTCCCACGAGGAGTTGCAATCTAACGTCCACAATATAAAGGTGTGGTTTAAAGACTGGAGCCAGTTTGTATTAGAATGGCAGCCAGGTCTTCAAATCCAGCAGGAGAGATTCTTGTGGTTAAGATGTTTTGGCATACCCCTTAACTTCTGGAATAGAAGCACACTAAACAACATTGGCAGCTTGTGGGGGTCAGTTCTTAGCTTAGAGGGTGATATTAATCAACCTAAGTCCTTCTCCTCTAGCAGGATTAAAGTGGTGACATCCTGCATGGGGTTCATCTATTCAACAATCAATTTGGAGTGTAAGGGCGTACTTCATCCTATCCTTGTGTATGAGGATCACCTGGTCAACACAGTTAAGTCTCCTACCAACTCACACACTAAGCATGATGATTACAGCTCCATTGTAGGAGTGGGGCCATTTAATTTCCCTTAGCTGATTTTCTGATTTTTTTAGTTTTTTGCTCTGTTGGTTTTGCTCGTTGGTTTCTCACCAACTTGGAGGTTGGAGCTTGTTTAAGCTCCAAGCTCCCATTTATTGATGTAATTCTTCTTATAATTCATCAATAAAGACTTCTTTTTGCCGATCAAAAAAAAAAAAAAGTTACTGCAATTACCTCTAAGCCTGTATTACATAATTTCTATCTTGAGAACTCTGCAATTATTTTGGGGAATGGTAGGAGAGCACAATTCTGGAGGGATAAATGGGCAAGGGAGTTGTATTTAAAGGATGAATTTCCCAGACTGTTCTCTCTCTCTACTGTCAAAGATGGAGTAGTGGCTGACTTCTATACCAGGAGTAGAGGGATCCAGGATTGGCTTTTCGAGTTTAGGAGACCTTTGTTGGCTTGGGAAGAGGAGGAGGTGAATAGGTTACATACCTTACTCAGGAGTGCACCGACTGTGAGGGTCATATCGCCCGATATATGGATGTGGAGGGCTGATTCCTCTGGGACGTATTCTGTTGCTTCAGGTTATAGAAAATGTGAATCATTATTGGGTCTTGATAGGAAGGTGGCAAGGGAAGTATGGAACAACTGTGCACCAACAAAAGTTAAATTCTTTGGGTGGTTGGCTTGGTTAGGCAAGGTGAAAACATCCAACTATCTCCAAAGATTTGGGATTTTAGATGAGGCTGCCAATGTTAGCTGTGTTTTTTGTCAAAATGAGGTGGAATCAATCAATCATATCTAGCTCTTTTGCCCATTTGTCTGGCTACTGTGGTCTCAGATTCTGAAGTGGTGGGGTGTTCAGTGGGTGATGCCAAACTCAGTGGAAGGGCTATTGCAGTGGTGGTCATTTTGCAAGATGAAGAAGCTTGAGAAAGTGATGTGGAAGGTTGTGCCTTTAGCTGTCCTTTGGTCTATTTGGAAGCATCGGAATGATTGTATCTTTAATGGTGCTCAACCAAATTTAGAAGACTTATGTGAGGTTGTCAAAGTAAGAATCGCTTTGTGGGTAAAATCCTCCCCAGCCAAAGTAGAGTTCTCCATTAATGATGTAGTTTTTAATTTGCACCAGGTTCACTATTGTTTAAGGCAGGGGAGCTGAGTATAGGTTGTCTTGATGCATTCACTGGACAGTGGTATTGAGGATGTATGTTGCTGTCTGCTGTATGTTGTTGTCTTGATGCATTCACCAGGTTCATTATGTTGTTGTCTGCTGTATGTTACTGTATGTTGGTTGCTAATCTGGTTGCTAATCTGCTAGGGTGCTGAGGACAGTGGTTTGGAGGATGTTCATATGTTAGAGTGCTTAGGCAGTCCTCAGTGTGCTCCTGCTCATTTGTTCATTTGTTATGCTGCTCATCTGCTAGAGTGCAGTGGACAGTGGTATTGAGGATGCTCTGGTTATGTTATTTGGTCTTGAGTGTGCTTCTGTTCAGTGTTCATCTGCTAGTAATCAGGAATGATGCATCAGAAATGGAATGCTGCTCTGTTGTGTGCTGAGAAGTGGGATGTTGTGGGATGATGTACTAGTGATGTATTACCTCATGGTGTACACATACAACTGCAGATGTTAGTGCTGTTAGTGGCTGCAAGAGTTAGCTTTTTGTGTATGGTTGTTTCTACTGCTTCTGATGGCAGGGGAATTTTTTGCTTGTCTTTTGTTTGGTTTTGGTTGGTTACTCATCAACCTAATGTGATGCTGCAAATGATTGTGCTTGTTCTATGGTGCCAACCTAGTTGGGATCATATTGCTTAGCTATGATGCTTGTGCATTCATCTCTCTTATTGTTGTATAGTTTCTTATTTCTCATCAATAAATCTCTTTCTTTGCCGATCAAAAAAAAAAAAACTAAACCCATAATACAAATGCCAATAATTTAGCATAATGAAATTACGATGCAGTCACCAAATAGCGGAAGAAAATAGGGTAGACTATCAATAGGTCTGTTAGACTTAATTTCCGTTAAGTCTTATTGAAAATAAGTCTTAGTAAAATTGTAACTAAAAATAATTTTTTGTAATGATTTTTTGCATATCACTAAAAATTGCTAATTAGTGATTTTTTTGTTATGATTTTTATAAATTCTCGCTAAAACTTATAATTAGTTACATGTTTCTGTGATGAATTTTTTAAACTATCTGTGAAAGTTGAAAATTAGTTATTTTTTTTGTGACGATTGTTTTAAATTGTCACTAAAACTTATAATTAGTGAATTTTTTGTGATAAGATTTTTAAAATGTCGCTAAAAATAAACAATTTGTGATTTTTTAATAATATTTAATGAAAAATGCTATTAACTATTATAGGACTTGTTAGACAATAAGTCTAACTATTATGACCTACCTACATGTAAATTCTCAAGAAAATAATACGGTTAGGATAAATTTATTAAATGTAGTTGTTTTATAAAGATAAGCAGTGCTATTTTAATTAAAAAGTTAGATTCATTTTTTAAGTTCAATGATTAATTAACCAATTACTCCCATGTGCTATTTATTTTTTTATATTTTTCTTTAATTATCAACCAATTATCTCAGTTATATATCATTAGTTCTAAATATATGTATATTACGTAAATAAATAATAAAAAATAAAATTAATTTTAAAATATAATATTCTCTAGGAGGACTGGGCCAGGCTAGGCTATATCCTTGAATCCTAAGTCCAATCCATTTATTAAACACGCGTCAAAATTTTACCATACCTAGTATTATTGGCTAAAATATTATTCTCAAATCCTTAAAAAATAGGCATTACAAAAAATTAAAGTTTTAGAGATTAAAATTTAGGAAAGAATTATTTTTTAAAGACCAAATATTTTTGTTGCAAAAAGTGTTATTATATTTTTAGTAACGAAAATTAGACATTAGTGATGAATTATTATCCTTTTGGGACCAAATTTTGTCTCAAAAAATAAATCATTTTTAGACGAAATTATTTTGTCCCCAAAAGTCTATTTATTAGTGACATTTTCAAAATTTTGTCGTTAAAATTTTTATTTTTAACTTTTCGGGACAACCTTTTAGCGACGATCATCATGACGACAGAAATTAGTCCCCAAATATCTTTTGTAACAAAATTTTCACTTTTTAGAGACCAAAACATGTGTTTAAAATTCTTATTTGTTGTAGTGAGGGTTGGGTTGGGCGGGCTAGTGGGCTGTTGCCCATGGCCTCTAATTTGAACAATTCATTTTATAGGGTCCCTTGTATTTATTGTTTCTAGAAAAAATTATGTCAATTTTATAATCGTAACCTCTATAATCGTAACCTCTTTTTTATTATTGCGTTTATCACAAAAAAATAGATAGCTTATTTTCGAAAAGAAACTTGCAGTCCATATTTTTTGAGACCAATATGATAAATCAAATTGATTACCAGTATTAAATCAATCTAATTTTTTCTAGAAATATACACGCAAATTTTATACAATAATTGGTTCAGATCATTCAAACGGACACCATGATAGGTTTCATAGGTCCGAACAATATTCTTCCGTCCAGATTTAGGGCCGGAGGTAATTTGTTCCCTATGATAAAATTGTTTGGCAAATTATTTCTAAAAATGTTTTAAGAATTATTCTTGAAAGCACTCCACTTTTAGGAATGATTTTTAGTAAAAATTATTGTATACGTGGCAACGTCATGTGTAGTCTTTAACTAATTACAAATGATGGGCCTTCTATCGAAACCAATGAGAAGAGAGGGAGACACCACATGACATTATTTACACCTAATAATTTTTGGGTTGTAAAATTTTCGCTATTTTTTGTTTATAGTATACAATACTCTACTGGAAAAAAAACCTAATATTGAGAGAGAGAGAGAGAGAGAGAGAGAGAGAACAGTAGATACAATGTAATCGTAAATGTGAAGACCCATAGTAGGTGAGAGCTTGTGATAGACACCCTTGTTTTCTTTTCCTTCTCCACGCCATATGTTTAAATTCCAAACTTCTTCTGCATATTTTGCAAGAAAGAAAGTTTCCATCATAAACTCTTTCACCAACCTTATCCTACTACTTCTTCTTCTACTACTACTCGTATAGTTAGTAGTAGATCCCAACACAACTTTCCCTAAGAAAATGGTGAAAAACACTGCAAATCTCATATAAGATCTGTTGTTGATCTTTGTCGTACAAGTAAGCTAACTAACTAAACCCACGTTTGTCCAACCTTTTGTTTTCTTTGCTTCTTTGATGTTTGTTTTGCTTAGCCTTTTCTTATTGATCTAGGTTGTACTCATTTCTACTCTTTTTGTTCTAATCAATAAAAAAATTTCATTGTTTAAAAAAAAAAAACAAAAAAAAAACCCACGTGTGTCTTCCAATTCATACCTTTTAGCTCTTTCCAGCTACTCTTTTGACTCTAATCTTATACCCTTTTTGCTTGAATTGCAGTTGCAGAAGACAGTACAAAGGCTTTTCTTTCCTTTTCTTTCCATTTTCTTCATCTCTCTATCTGGTTTTTAGTTAAGAGTTTTATTTATTATTCTGAGCACGTCGAATGGTTGAAGTAATAAGAGGATAATAGTAGTTAGAGAAAGAAAGAGATAGAGAGAGAAGAAAAGAGGAGGTAGATAGATAGAGAGATGGAAGGACGAGAGGTGAAGGATGAAACACTGCCGCCAGGGTTTCGGTTTCATCCAACAGACGAAGAACTCATCACTTATTATCTTATAAATAAGATCTCAGATGCTAATTTTACAGGAAGAGCCATCGGAGACGTTGACCTAAACAAGTGTGAGCCATGGGATCTTCCAGGTAGTTTTAACTGCTCCCATCTTAATACTTCGCCTTCGTAGCATTGCTCATCATCTTTCAAATAGGTTTAGTTCCTCGGAAATTGGAGCTTTAGATCTTGATCTTCATGTTCCATTGCATATATTCGCTTTTTTTTGCTGGGATTCATCAAAACAAGGGTTTATTAATCAACCCCACCATAGTTTAGACTTTAGATAGATATATGATCAGTTATTTTGCCAAAGCTTAAGCACTGCTGCTGTGTTTCTTTTGTTTTTTGTCTACAAACTTGGAAAATTGTTTATGAATTATATTTTGACCTAATCTTCAAAATTGTGATATTTGCAACAGGAAAGGCAAAGATGGGAGAAAAGGAATGGTATTTCTTCAGTCTTCGAGATCGGAAATACCCAACTGGGGTGAGAACAAACCGAGCTACAAACACTGGATACTGGAAGACCACAGGAAAAGATAAGGAGATCTTCAATAGTAACACCTCCGAGTTAGTTGGAATGAAGAAAACATTGGTATTCTACAGAGGAAGAGCTCCTAGAGGAGAGAAAACCAACTGGGTTATGCATGAATATCGTATTCATTCTAAATCAGCTTTTAGAACTACCAAGGTACGTACACTGTCTCCCTCCCTCTCTTCCTCTCTAAGGTTTTCATAGCCATAAAAGAGTATCAAATCATACTTATTGAGGTGGTGTTTGGCAAGTTGGGTTGGGGCTAAAATAGCCACAAAAGACAAAATAGGCTATTTTAGCCACAACAAACAAAACATCACATCCAACCCATAATCATTACACTCTTCTCTCACAAAAAAAAATCAAAAAAGCCAAAAAGTCAAAAAGCCCTTCCCAAACCAAACTTTTTAGCCCAGGCTAAAATAGCCAAAAAAGTCAAAAAGCCAAAAAGCCAACCCACTTCCCAAACGGAGGCTGAGTATGATTGGTTTTGATCGGTTTTGATCAGCTTTTAATTGGTTTTTTACCAATCTTGCGTAAGTGTTAGCATATGATTGTGTTTTCTTTGCGATACCAATTTAGTTGGGGTTGTAAGGATTTGCTATGATACGTTCTGTACTTTTCTACTTTGTTGATGTAATTTTGCATGTATTATGCTTTTTCATCAATAAATTTTGTTTTACTGATAAAAAAAAACAAATATACATGTCAAGAATCATGTGATTGCAGTTGTAAATTATTTTTACTTTATTTTTATTTTTATTTTTTTAAAATCATCAACTACAAAAAGAAGGTTCATAGTCCTCAAGGCCACTGTATTAGTTGTGAATCGAATTATGAATCGACTATGCATCGATATGTATTTTGAATCGGTTAAGTATCAAATTGTGAATTCACTAGGCATCGATATGTATTTTGAATCGGTTGATATACCTATTATTTTTATTATCACAAATATACTAGATGAATCGGTTGATATACCTATTACTCACAAATATACTGGATGTGTCGGTATTAGAAAGTCAAAAAATCAAATTTATACATTAATATTTAAAAAGGCAAGTCTATTTTACGCACAAGAAATTTTGGTCCAGAGCACTTTGTCCCTAATATGTATAGAGAGCCTTTCCGTGATTTTTGAACAAAATATAGTTTGTTTCGCCATCATTACTAATTCCGCTCGAATTGCGTAAATTTTAGAGTTGCTATGAAAAAGTAAACAAAAAAAAAGTCAAAGCCAAATTTTATTTTAAAAGGACAGTTGCCATTCATCATCTTCTTTCCCAATTAAAAAGAAATTATTTTGGTGATTTTGTATTAAGTCTATATGTGGTGACCCATTTTGATTTTGATAGGCTAAAATAGTAGGAACTAGTACTCTTGTATTTGTTTTGGGGACTAGTATCATGTGATAAATGGTAGGGAGTATTTTTGCTGTGTTCTTTTTTTTTTATTTTTAGAGAAATTACGATAGGGTTTCTACAATATATTCTTTGTATCATTTTGATCATACATTTAATTAGCTAAATTTTAATCTTCAATTTTTAAAATTGAATTAATTTAGTCCAATTAAAACAATCTTTAATTTTTTTAAAACTAAAATTTAGGGCCACATTTGTAAATTTGCTCATACCCATCCAACTCAATGAGAACTCATAGTGAGTTAATTCATTCAAACAGTAAGTGATATAACTTAGTGATCCATATATATATATATATATATAGAGAGAGAGAGAGAGAGAGAGAGAGAGGGAGGGAGGGAGGGAGAGGAGGGGGTTGAGGCATTGTAGGGCTGGGAAAGGGGAAGGGAGATGGCAATAGGAGATGTGGGAATGTGTAGCCTCACATATATATATACACATTATTAGACCAATTTTCTAATAATTTATATTTTTAGTTGAGTTATTAGTTAACAATTTAACATGGTATAAGTGCTCTGATTTCAAAAAAAATTCTTGGTTGAAGCCTTGTCATTTTCATTATTTGTCATTTTGCACTATGTTCTATCGATTTTGTGCACCTTAATTATATCTCAGTTTGTTTGTCTCCCCACGTGCAGGACGAGATCACATGTATGCGAGAGTATAAACTTAATATACATTGTTGGATCTATTATTAGCAACTTAAGCTTTAATTTTTTAATAAATTAGGAAGGAAATGAGAGAGGTGTCGGGATTGAGAGAGGTTGCTACTTGGGCTGTAGGCGGTGGCAAAACCGGTTGAAAGAGGTGGCAGCACAGATTGAGAAAGGTCATGGATGAAAGCTCTTTTCCCTGCTCATCTTTGTTCTTGATCATTCAATTCACTTTTATTCTAATACTTGTAGATGGGGTTGTTTGGTGGTTGGTGGTGGGGTTGTGTTTGGTGGTTAGGGGTGGTGGGTGTAGGTGATACATGGTGTGGTGGCAGTGGCATCAACTAACTTGTCCACATACACCTTCCCAAAATGGTGTAGCTGAAAGGAAACATAGGCACCTCATTGAAACTACTATTACCCTCATGCATCATTCTTCTCTACCTTTAATTTACTGGTTTGATGCTCTTGCAGCTGCTGTCTATTTGATTAATAGACATCCTACTCTCAAACTTAAAAATCTTACTCCCTATGAGGTCTTATTCAAACAGAAACCTAATTATATGTTCTTGAGATCCTTTGGCTGTAGATGCTATCCTTGGCTCAAACCATATACCACTAATAAACTTCAACCTCGATCTCTTCCTTGTGTTTTTCTTGGTTATCAACCTTCCATCAAAGGTTATAGGTGTCTTGATCCCATCACAGGCAAAGTCTATATCTCCAGACATGTAATATTTGATGAGTCTTTCTTTCCTTTTCAGACTTCTTCCAAACAGTCTTCCTCTGCCACTGCTGTCTCTCTCCAGCAGTTTTTCTGGTCTTCACCTTTATCTTCCTCTCACACTGCACCTCCTCCAGCAGCTCTTCCACTTCCCACAGCTGCACCTACTTCAGCTACAGCAATTCCAACAGTCTCAGCAACTACACCTACTCCACCAGTTCACCCACTTTCTGCAAATCCAACAGCTGCCACTACTCCAGCAGCCTACTCTAATCCAGCAGCTCCCACTGTTTTCTCAATTCCAGCAGTACCAGTCTCTTCCACTTCTGTTCCTCTTCTATCTCCTGTCCCTTCTGATCAGATTGCTATTTCCAAAATCTCTATTGATCTTCCCTCTCTTTCTTCTAATATTCATCCCATGATTACCAGATCCAAATCAATCTCTTCTCATACTGCTTGTCTTTCTTCTTTCTCTCCTCAATCTGAACCACAAACTTTTCAGCAAGCAGCTTCTTCTTCTGTTTGGCAATCTGCTATGCTTGAAGAATTTCAAGCCTTACAAAAACAAGGTACTTGGTCTTTAGTTGATCTTCCACCTGGCAAACAGGCAATAGGCTGCAAATGGGTTTATAGAATTAAGAAAAATTCAGATGGTTCTATAGCCAGATATAAGGCAAGGTTAGTTGCCAAGGGCTTTCTTCAGACTGAAGGGGTGGACTATCATGAGACCTTTAGTCCTGTGGCTAAGCAACCTACTATTAGAATTCTGTTATGTCTGGCCCTACATTTTGATTGGCCCATCAAGCAGCTTGACATCTCTAATGCATTTCTCCATGGTGTTCTTGAAGAAGAAGTTTATATGGTTCAGCCTCCAGGCTTTGTTCAACCAAATCAATCTCAGCTTGTTTGCAAGTTACACAAGGCTCTCTATGGTTTAAAGCAAGCTCCTAGAGCTTGGTTCTCTACCTTCTCCAATTTTCTTCTCACTCATCAATTTGTTCAAAGCCATTGTGACTCTTCTCTTTTTATTAAGAAGACTTCTACTGCTATTACCATTCTTCTCATCTATGTAGATGATATTCTCCTCACAGGAAGTGATCCTCTCTATATTACCTCTCTCATTACACATATGCATACCACCTTTTCCATGAAGGAGCTTGGCTTTGTTAATTACTTCTTGGGTATCTCTGTCATAAAACATGCTTCTGGTTATGTGCTTTCTCAGCAAAAATATGCCTCAGATTTATTGACCAAGGCTGGTATGAGTGACTGCAAAGCTTACTCTTCTCCCATGGCTACTAAGTCTTCTTCCAGTGCTCTTACTGCAGCAGAAGATTCTCCCTTTCCTCAGCCAGCTTTGTACCGCAGTGTGGTTGGAGCCCTGCAGTATCTTACTCTTACTAGACCAGATTTAGCCTTTGTGGTTAATCATCTTTGTCAATTCATGCACTCTCCTCTGACTAGCCATTTTACCTCAGTTAAAAGATTGCTAAGATATCTCAAAGGCACCTTATCTTATGGTCTTCATTTCACTTCTGGTCCTCTTCTTCTCAATGCCTATTCAGATTCAGATTGGGCAGGTAATATCCTTGATCGCAGGTCCACCACTGGATACTGTATCTATCTTGGTCCTAATCTGATCTCTTGGTCTGCCAAGAAGCAACCAACTGTGTCTCGATCATCTTCAGAGGCTGAATATAGAGCTTTAGCCCAAACCTCGGCTGAACTTAGTTGGATTGGCATGTTGCTTGCTGACCTTCATGTTTTGGTTCCTGTGCCTACCCTATGGTGTGACAACTTATCTGCCATAGCTATGAGTAACAATCCTGTGTTTCATGCGCGTACGAAACACATTGAGGTGGATTATCATTTTGTTCGCGAACGGGTTGCATCCAAGAAGCTTCATATCTGTCATATTCCCACTTCAGATCAAGTTGCTGATATCTTTACTAAACCGCTATCTGTTGCTCGGTTTCAATATCTTCAGCTCAAACTCAATGTCCTTCGAAAACCAACTGGGTTATGCATGAATATCGTATTCATTCTAAATCAGCTTTTAGAACTACCAAGGTACGTACACTGTCTCCCTCCCTCTCTTCCTCTCTAAGGTTTTCATAGCCATAAAAGAGTATCAAATTATACTTATTGAGTATGATTGGTTTTGATCGGTTTTGACCAGCTTTTGATTGGTTTTTTACCAATCTTGCGTAAGTTTTGGCATATGATTGTCCTTTCTTTGGGATACCAATTTAGTGATAAGTCACAGCAACCTGCAACAGATACAGAAGCTACAGCAGTTGCATCACATGTGTAATATTCACATGTGTAATATCCAGCTGTCTAGTTTGTTATTTTTGTTATAGGTTGTTAGTTTGTTATAGAGTAACTGTCCAGCATTAACTGTGGTTAGGTAGTTATGGTTAAGAGTCAATTGCAGTGTATAAATATGACTTCATCCTGTACCAATGTGATTCATTCAATAAACAATATATTCATTTTCTTTATTTAGTTGGTGTTTTTAGGGTTTGCTATGACGTTCTGTACTTTCCTACTTTGTTGATGTAATTTTACATGTATTGTGCTTTTTCATCAATAAAATTTTGTTTTGCTGATAAAAAAAAACAAATATACATGTCAAGAATCATGTGATTGCAGTTGTAAATTATTTTTACTTTATTTTTATTTTTATTTTTTTAAAATCATCAACTACAAAAAGAAGGTTCATAGTCCTCAAGGCCACTGTATTAGTTGTGAATCGAATTATGAATCGACTATGCATCGATATGTATTTTGAATCGGTTAAGTATCAAATTGTGAATTCACTAGGCATCGATATGTATTTTGAATCGGTTGATATACCTATTATTTCTATTATCACAAATATACTGGATGAATCGGTTGATATACCTATTACTCACAAATATACTGGGTGTGTCGGTATTAGAAAGTCAAAAAATCAAATTTATACATTAATATTTAAAAAGGCAAGTCTATTTTACGCACAAGAAATTTTGGTCCAGAGCACTTTGTCCCTAATATGTATAGAGAGCCTTCCCGTGATTTTTGAACAAAATATAGTTTGTTTCTCCATCCTTACTAATTCCGCTCGAATTGCGTAAATTTTAGAGTTGCTATGAAAAAGTAAACAAAAAAAAGTCAAAGCCAATTTTTTTTTTTAAAAGGACAGTTGCCATTCATCATATTCTTTCCCAATTAAAAAGAAATTATTTTGGTGATTTTGTATAAAGTCTATATGTGGTGACCCATTTTGATTTTGATAGGCTAAAATAGTAGGAACTAGTACTCTTGTATTTGTTTTGGGGACTAGTATCATGTGATAAATGGTAGGGAGTATTTTTGCTGTGTTTTTTTTTTTTTTTTTTTTTTTAGAGAAATTACGATAGGGTTTCTACAATATATTCTTTGTATCATTTTGATCCTACATTTAATTAGCTAAATTTTAATCTTCAATTTTTAAAAATGAATTAATTTAGTCCAATTAAAACAATCTTTATTTTTTTTAAAACTAAAATTTAGGGCCACATTTGTAAATTTGCTCATACCCATCCAACTCAATGAGAACTCATAGTGAGTTAATTCATTCAAACAGTAAGTGATATAACTTAGTGATCCATATATATATATATATATATAGAGAGAGAGAGAGAGAGAGAGAGAGAGAGAGGAGGGAGAGGAGGGGGTTGAGGCATTGTAGGGCTGGGAAAGGGGAAGGGAGATGGCAATAGGAGATGTGGGAATGTGTAGCCTCACATATATATATACACATTATTAGACCAATTTTCTAATAATTTATATTTTTAGTTGAGTTATTAGTTAACAATTTAACATGGTATAAGTGCTCTGATTTCAAAAAAAATTCTTGGTTGAAGCCTTGTCATTTTCATTATTTGTCATTTTGCACTATGTTCTATCGATTTTGTGCACCTTAATTATATCTCAGCTTGTTTGTCTCCCCACGTGCAGGACGAGATCACATGTATGCGAGAGTATAAACTTAATATACATTGTTGGATCTATTATTAGCAACTTAAGCTTTAATTTTTTAACAAATTAGGAAGGAAATGAGCGAGGTGCCGGGATTGAGAGAGGTTGCTACTTGGGCTGTAGGCGGTGGCAAAACCGGTTGAAAGAGGTGGCAGCACCGATTGAGAAAGGTCATGGATGAAAGCTCTTTTCCCTGCTCATCTTTGTTCTTGATCATTCAATCCACTTTTATTCTAATACTTGTAGATGGGGTTGTTTGGTGGTTGGTGGTGGGGTTGTGTTTGGTGGTTAGGGGTGGTGGGTGTAGGTGATACATGGTGTGGTGGCAGTGGCGTGGGGTGGTGGGAGTGGAAGAGGGAGAGAGGGAGAGGGAGAGATAGAAATAGAGATTGATAGGAAAACTGATTCTGTTTTGTTTTGAGAGGGAGAGGCAGATAGAGATACAGACTGATACGAAGACTGATAAAAAAAAATGAAAAAAAAGGAGGGGTGGGGGGGTTAAAATTGATATATTAAAAATGTAGGGACTAAATTGATACAAGGAATAAAACGTGGAGACTACTTATGTAATTTTTCTTATTTCTTTATCTTTTTCAAATATATATACATATGTTCATATAAAATGATGACATAACTCAACAATAAGACAAAAAACTCATGCCATCACATATGTTGACAACAAGTCATATTGTTAAGTCACTGTGATGGCATGAGTTTGAGCCATGGAGTTTAGGATCAAAACCAGACTAAAGTGATTTCATTCAAAGAGGAGTTGTCTTGCTTCGCGAATTAGAATTCCCTCAATTTCAAGTACAATAATATGATTAGTCGACTTTCAAGCAACTATCGTAGACTGTGGATGTCATTTCCAAAAAACAAAAATTTAAAATTTTAAAAAAATCAATCATATTTGCGTGTAAGATTGTAAACTCAAGAAGTAAGTAGCATAGCATAGCAAGATAACCAAAGAGGATGATTTGCAGTGTTTCTCATGTAAAGAACACCATTGAAAAAGCTGGCTGCTGCTGGACTGCATGATATGCAATGCAAGTAGAAATATCTCTGCACCTCAGTTTTGCTGTTCATGAAGGTCCAGCAGCAGCAGCAGCAACAAAAGTGGTGGTTGTTTTCTTCCAGTAAAATAAAATTGTGAATAGTATGCTTGAATTTAATCTGAAACTCAAACAGATTTTGAATATAAAAACTATAACAATTTTTGAGCTGTGTAGTTAGTGTAAAATTTTAGTTTCCATGTTCTAAAATTTGTGAAAATAAATCTGTTATTTGTGGTTTGTGGGGACAAATTTTAGTGCTCACATTATATATTATTATATTATATTATAGAATAGATAAATAAAAGTTTTGACTTGATGTTGATACATAATGATAATGAAGCCTCAGCCATGAATGATTGTAGGTGTATATGTTTGTCTTAATTAGTCTAGTGTCCTGTTCACTTCATTTTATTATTCATTGATATGAGGGATTGTTGTATATGTTATTGTTTTGGGTAGAATAGAATAGATGATCTAACATAAAAATATGGTGTATTTTACAGCAGGATGAATGGGTGGTTTGTCGAGTCTTCCAGAAAAGTGGTGGTGGGAAAAAATACCCTTCCAACTCCAACTCCATCTCCAACTCCAACCACAACAACCACTCATCAAGAGCAGCAGCACTAATGAATCCCTACAATCTGGAAATAGGTCCAACAGGTGTTGTCATGCCTCAACAAATGATGCATGCCGCCGAGGCTTGTCAGTTCCCCATGGGAAGAAACTATATGAGCAATGCTGCAGAACTCGAGATTTCTAGGGTTTTAAGAGCTGCTGCTGCTGCTGCTGCTGGCGGTGGCGGCGGCTCAAACACTCATCATCTCAACTTTCCTATCCAATCCCAAATATTGAACTACCCTCCAGGAGGTGGCGGTGGCAGCGGTGGCGGTAGCTTTACGATTTCTGGTCTTAATTTAAACCTCGGAGCAACCACCACCTCAGCACAACCCATGATTTTGCGGTCAGTGATGCCACCTCAAACAACTATGATGAATCAACAACAAGATCATCATGTGAATTCTTCGACTTCCATGTTGACAAATGAGGGGGCTGTGGCTGTCTATGGCGGGGAGGTCAATAACCCAAATGGGTCGGTGAGCAACAGATTCATGACCATGGACCATTGTGTGGATCTTGATAACTATTGGCCTCCCTATTAAGGGGATCAAATCAAAGAGAGTGAGAAAAACAAAACTAAGTCGTGTCAAGTCTACTCTTTAAAATGTATTATGACTTATGTAGTAGGTGAGTTGATTTAGGTATAGAAATGCTTCTGTTTTAATTTCTCTTCATGTTCCTATCCTAGTTATGACTTATGAGAAGTGAACTCACCACATTCAATAAGGAATGGGAAGGTGAGAGCTTTTTATCTTTTGTTTTTGTGTCTTCTTTCCTTTCCCTATTTTTATTATTATTTTTTTTTTCCCTCTCCCCCTACCCTAGTAGTGAACAACTAGTAAAACAATATGAAGTTATAATTTTGCTAGATATTACGGCTGTTTTATTATCCTTAATTAGATGCATGTGTCTACTTCATTAACTTAAATTGAGTTTTTGGATCATTAATTGTTGCTTATTATAGTGAACACAAATCTTTTGATGGTATTTTGTAAATTAGTAATGAAACCATGGATATCACTAGATGAAAAGAATAAATTTTTAATATATGTGATTTTAATATTGATCAGCGTTAATTTGGGATTTCGGCTAAATATATTTTAGTCGTGGAATGTTAATTTTTTCCTACTAAAAAATAAATTTTAATTGCCAAATAACTGGCATAATTTCGCCCAAAACAAATTTAATCCTTAATGACCAAAATTTGGTCACTAAAAATTTATTTTCGGTGACCAAAAATATTTAGTCAGCAGCAGTGTGAGAATTTTTTGTGGGACAATTTCAGATTAGTGCCCAATTCTTTTCCCGACTAAAATACCGCCTAATTATGTTTTATTTTATTATTTTTTATTTTTCTCTATATCAGTCTCTCTACTACACCCAAACAAGTTCTTTTTTTTCTCTCTTTCTCTCTCTCTCTCTCTCTCAAACTCAACACAACCACTCATAGATTCACTATCACACATCATCACATCGCCGCTAGCTCTCGGCTTGCCTCAATATTGAGGTCTCTCTCTCTCTCTCTCTCTCTCTCTCTATCTCCTTTTCTCTATTATTTCACTCTAACTCTAGGGTTTTATTTTTTATGTTGTAGGGTTTTGATTTACATAAAATGAGTAAATTAGTAAATGGGTTTTGATTTATGTGAAATGAGTAATTAATTGGGTTTCATCAATGAACCAATATTTGAAATGAGTTTCTATAAAATGGGTTGCATCAATGAACTAATGATTGGAAGAACATGTTATTTCTTTTTTTCTTTTTCTTTTTCTTTTTTTGGTTTGTTTATTTCAAAAAATGGCATGACTCTACCAGAACCGTGTCTTCCTTTCTTGTTTTATGATTCATTCCACTCCTTGTGCCACAAATGAGCTTCATACATTTCTGGGTTAATGTAACACTTCGTACTTTTTGGACTAATGGGATTGCTTTTGACTCTTTTTATTTTATTTTATTGTAATTAGAGTCTCCTTGATTGACATAAGAGTATTGATTGGTGTGGCATCATAATTGCAAAGTAGGATTGAACCAAAAATTTTGATTTGGATATTTGTCCTATGAGTAGTTTTCATTCTTTTACCATTTTCTCCCTCCACATTTTGAATCTTGAGATGAGACTAGAACCATTAGAAAATTTATTTTTGGGGTTTAGATTTAGACACAACAACAACCCAAAACGGAGTTCGAATGAGAGAGTTATGCTCATTTAAAGTTTGACCACTTGAGCTGTGAGCACATTTCACTCGAACGCAAGTTTTACACCTTGAGCGGTCCACAGACCCTTCCAGCTCTATTTTTCAAAAATTATCTAATATATTGCAAGCATTAATTCACCACTCGAACATACTTTTGACTGCTCGAGCGGTCTGTTTGAGAAAGTCAAGCTATTGAGAGCTTTCAATCATTGCTCGAGCACAGTTTTGATCACTTGAGCTGTCTGTTCGAATTCAGCACACAGTAAAGCTACTTTTAATTAGATTTGAGGGCCCAAAACTCATTTTTCTTACACACACACTCTCTCTAAACTCTCTTTCTCTCTAATCCCTCACCCAAAGCTCACAAATCCTCTTATCCATCAAGATCCGTAGAGTATTTGATTCTAGTTCCTTATGCCAAACCGTAGAGCATGGTGAGAGATGTCTTTTAATCTGAGTGAATCGTGTTTTCATCGTCGGTGTATTTTTAAAATTTGTCTCCTCTTTTTTTTACTTCTTTTCAATACTTTGCTATAAATAGATAAGTGGCAGTTTTTATTGCATAAAAACTTAGGTTGTGTTTGGTGTGCAACTCTAATTAATTTTCCACCCTCAGATTTGAATACTATGTTTGGTAGAGGTTTTCAAATTATGATTCCAAATCAATTTCAAAACACATTTTGAAAACATATTTGGTAAATCGGGAAGTTTTTGAATTTTTGGTCTACTTGGTTGTCCGCCCGAACATTTTCCTGGATGTTCGGCCGGTTGACTGGAGTAGTATTTTTTGATATTTTATTTTATTTTATTTATTTATTTATTTTGCAATTGTCAATCACCACTTGTTATTTGGGGAAAAAATTATATTTGTTTTTGATATTTTTTAAATATAGAAATTATTTTTTTAGACCAAAATGACAAATTATTTTTTTGAATTGAATTTTAAAAAGAGTTTGAGTATGAGTTTTGAATAGAATTTTCAATAGAGTTTTGAAAAGTGTGTTTGGTTTAAGTTTTGAAAACTTTTTTCAAAACTCATAAGCAAACAACTTTTCTCATTTCATATGACACATCAAAAATTCAAAACTCAATTCAAAACTCATAACCAAACAAATTTTCTCTTTTCAAATCATAATTCCAAAATTCACAAACTTAAAATACAGCTCTATTCTCAAATCATAAGTCTAAAACTCTACCAAGCATTACCTTAGTTTTGGAAAGTGATTTCGAAAGGCATATAGATAAGGGTTAGGGTTTGGGATTAATTTAGTTCAGTCTTGTGTTTGGTGTTCATTATGGAAGTATTTTGCTAATAGAAAATGATTGTGGTAAATTAAATGAGGAGCCCTAATTTTATTTTTTTGGGAAATGAAATAAAATTGATGAACTTAGTATTTGTTGAGCCATATGGATATTTGTGAACCAAAATTGCAAAATGGAATGGGAAAGAAGTGAAAGGGTTGCTATATATTTAGATGGCTATGATATGGAGCTATATCGAAATTGATGGGGAATTGGAGTTAATGGAATTTAATTATAGGAGTTTGGTAATGTATGATTGTTGAAAAAAAAAACTAAACAAGCATAAGGGTATTGAATTGTGGAATACAACGAGGGCCATACTGTTCTTAATTATGAGAATTGAATTGTTTCATTTATAGGAATTGTGCCTTTATTGTTTAGAAGTTTTGTCATTAACCATCGGTGGAGAATGATAGTGATTGTTGTTGAATAAATTATTCGAGTTATGTATTGTTGCATTATTTACATAATTTTTAATAATGTGGTGACTGGATGTGATGAACAATGATGAATTTGCTATATAGAGGTTCATTTCTTTCCGGTTAGCACTCGGTAAAGCGTGTTGACATCGATTTCGTTTCCTTCCGGTTTGCGCTTGGTAAAGCGTGGGTTGAGGTTCCACTTCCTTCCAACTTGGTTCTGGTAAAATGTAGCGCCTTGAGATAGGTTTTGTTTCCTTCCGGCTTGCGCCCACAAAACATGTGTACTATTGGGCTACATGGAGGTTCCATTTCCTTTTAACTAGCCACCAGTAAAACATGGCGGTTTGAGACAAATTCTATTTCTTTCCAGTTTGCATTCGGTAAAGAGTGTGAAGATGGTTTCCAGTGTTTAGTTGTGTTGAATACAAAGAGGTGCCTTTTGCCTTAGGGATTAGTAGTTGGTGGTGTGGAGTTTATGACGGTAGTATTTTTTTATCTAACCTGCGAGATATTGATGATATGATAGATGGTTGATGTTTGTAATCAAAGTAGTGTACATGCTTGTGAGTTTGCGTTCAGTTAGATAATGATACATATATTTTTAAAATTGAAATAGTGGTGACGTTACTTTTGATTAAATGGTTAGTCGAGAGCATGATTGATTGCATAAACTTGTTTTCGTTAAGAAACGAATTATGAAAAAATTATTTGAATTAAAATTGATAAATTGAAAGGATAAGGAGTGATTTTCTTGAAATCTAAAGAAGGGTTATTTTGAGAAAAATATACTTATGTATATATCTATTTTGGATATGAAAAGTGACACTACATATATACTTATAACGTGAAACATTCATGATCTTATATATTTATAGGTTTGTTATTGTTTAGAGTCATTACGATTTCTACTGGACATTAGTGTTCATCTCTTATTGTTGATAATTTTTCAGGTATAGAGACGGAGAATTCCTTAGAGTGAGAAGCTCACTTTGTTCTCGGCCATGGGCCCAATATATATGTAGGCAGAATGTCGTTGATGTGAAGGGTTAAACCCTTTTCTTCATGTAATTTGTAAGCCTAAGGGCATGTTTATCGAATTATAGTTAATGTTGCATCATATGTATAAACGAGAGTGAATTTTAATTATTTCAATTTGGTTAATGTTTATTACTCCGCATGTTTGTCTATATAAATGGACTTAAACTAAGGCATTGGTAATGATTTTTGATTTATAAAATATGGGGCGTTACAGTTAGTTTGGATGACAGATGGAGGTGTTTCAGCTCCCATTTGTAGCTCGCCTTTTTTGTGCCCCCCTTTTGGAAGTTCAAAAATATGCCATACAGTTCGGACTCCCGCGGTTCTGAATCTAATCTCACAAGTGCAATGTGAAATTGATAAACATCCAAAGAGTCTAAATCCGAAAAATCTTTTGAAAAATCGATTTTGAATCAAATTACCAAAAATAGACTACTTTGCCAGATACAGAGCCGCCACCTAAATATTTTAGGAAATTTAAAAGATTTAGGAAACTCATGACTCGCGCCAAAGGTCACGTATCCGTCATCACCAAGATTGTCTCAGCTCGAGAACTTAGGTATGAGAAGAGAAGGTCATAAATACATTTGAGCACCTCGCTCGCCCTATCAAAGATCGGCCTCTACTAATCATAATATGATTTTTATTTACATTATATGTTATTGTTCCGGTTTATTAGGTTAGCATTACTATGTGATGCGCGCATACACAAGTATAGACTAATTTGCAATAATTGGAACACTTGATTCATGTTTGTTTTGTAAAGTTGTTTCGAAATATGTACCACTTGAAAAGTCATCGCATATAAACATTGCTTAAATTATTCTAATTCAAGTAATAAGCCTTCATCCACAGACATTTCAAGCAGTTCTATCAATTAAGCATTTAGCCTCATGGCAAGCATGTTAAACAT